GGAGAAGAATTTAAAAATTTTGAAGAAAAAAAGTTGAAGACCAAGCTTTATGAAACATGGAGAGAGCAAAGGAGAGAGACGACAACACGAGGTGCACGAGATAGAGAGAAAGAGAAGGGTTGAAGAGGAAGTACCCGAAGGGTGAAAGAGATGGAAGAGGAAGGAATTCCGAAAAAAAAGTTCGTTAGCCCTCTTTATTGACCAGTAATTAAGTTGTATAACACGTAAAAGCATAATTAAAGTTAAAGAGATACAAAAAGAGATGGTAGAAGACTGAATGAGTCAGAGAGAGTTGAAAAGAGAACGAGATGGAAAATGGAAGCTCGCACAGAAAGTTATGAACAAGTTTTTGCTGGAAGTCTGTTCTTTTTGACGTTCTCCGAAATATTTGGCATTTTTTACTTCACATCCTTCCCATCCTTCAGCTCTCCGTGATGAAGGTGAACAAATCTCGGAGAGGACAAAAAAACATTTAAATTTGCCTAAGAAACATTTCTTCTCAAATTTCGAATCGGTTTCGTTTCCATTCGTTTATTCTCCATTCAAACAACATCTTCACTTTTTTTTCTAATCTTTCCCTTCGACAACTTCTCAGCTTTTTCTTTACAACTTTTTCTCGTTGTCGATCATGACCGTTTGGATGTCGTTGAACTTCTAGGCGCTGTCGGGAAGATGTCGTCACACTTCCATCATCTCTCTCTCTCTTTCTTTTATTTTTCTATATCTCTCTATCTTTTTTATTTTCTCTCATCATTCCCTTCAGCACTCTGCTATATGTCCTCCCGACGACCAAATGTAATCAGACTGAGAAAGAAGACGTCGCCCTTCTCTTAAACTCGAATGTCTGTCAGCTCAATTGGAATCATCCTATCCATATTTGACCATATTCGTCTTATCTGAACTTAAAAGCTCCAAAACTAACAATGTTGGCTTTCAGTATCTTCTTTTTCCAATTGAAAATAGGCTTAAACGATTTGACTGAAGTGAACTTGGCCTATGTGACACTCCTTCTCACCCTCTTCCTCCTCCTTTCACTTTCTCTCTCACTCTCTCTCTCTTTCAATTTTTAATTTATTTTTTTTTGAATATCATCTAAAGTTTGCGAAACAAAAAAAAATACAACCGCTCATAGCCACTTAAACTATTAAAATGAAAATTCATTTTTTACGTGATAGCACGTGGAACATGGTATGCAAATTGGTATTTATAAGCAGTATTCAGAAGGGATTAAGACTGTTTGTTTACATAAATAAACTTTTTTTTACGAAGACAGATAACTTGATGAAATTATCCAAAGAAGGCAACAAAAACCTCTATTAATCACCTTGTTTGCAGCTTTTCATTTGCATATTTTTGGAAAGAGAAGGAAAATCTTTTTTTTTGTTCCGCAAAACGAATTGATAAGATGTTAATCCAATCGATTTACATCTTATAAAGCCTCTTCTGAGAACTCTCCGTTTTTAATGCTTCTTCATTGTCTCTCGTAATATTTCCTTTTACTTCATTCAATCTCTCTTACTTTGTAACTCTCTATATGTCTCTCTCTCTCTTTTTATTTTTCTTAGTTCTTCTATCCATTTCCTTATCGTTAGAGGAGATGAGGGAAGAAAAAAGTTTTTGAAATCGATTTCAGCTTCTTTTTATCTAAATGATTAATAGCTTTTTACGAAGGTCAAAGTTGAGCAGCAACAGCTTGTCCGACAATCTCCAGATGTTATTTTTCCTTTTTCATCATAAGCTTTCATTTGTTTTTTTTATTTCATTTCAACCACTTCTATCAGAATGAAAAAGTTTTAATCCTGAAAAGGAGATTTTTATCTTTTGCTCGATTTCTTTGATTAAAAGGAATATTCGAGGAAAAATTATTTTTTTATGTTTCATTTTATTTTCTTCAAATATCATTCGGCTGTAACTTCTTTCTGAGACGAAAACGTTCAAAATCCTAAATGGCTTCTATCGAAAAGCCTTGTTAGCAAGGAAGAAATGCTTCGGAAGAGGACAAAGCTTTCCCTTCGTCTCACTCCCCCATTCTCACACTCTCCCTCCCTCTCTTGTATGCTTCAGAAAGATCAGAGAAGTCATATGCTGCTCCCCCCCCCCCCTTTTTGGTTTTTTCTCGAACATCAGATCTTTGTGTCTTCATCGTTCTCACGTAAATTATTCTGTCACTTATGCTAATTTCACGTGATTCTCAAATGTCATTCTAACTCTTCTACCTTCGTAGTTGAGCAGAAGCTGTATTCATCTCATTTCCTCACTTCCTTTTATTATTAACTATACTTTATCATTAAATCATTTTTTTCCAGCAGCAGCAGGAAGAAGAAGCCATAAGTTTCATCAAAAACAAAAGCCATAAGACCGCAATCCATCGGGTAAGTTCATCTGCCCACAGCTTCAACTTGAAACGTTCTCATTCACCACTCTGTCCACCTCTCACTTCGTTTATTTTTCATAAAAAAATGTTTGTTCAAAAATATTTTATTTTGCTCTCAGCTCTTTTAAACAAAAACATTTCTTCGAATTAATTTGTCGAACTTTTTTTAGACTTCGTTCGTTGTAGAATTTTTTACCTCTCACTCTCCCCTCTGATTGTCAGTCTTTCCCTTCCTCTTTCTCTCCTTCTCTATCTCTTTCACTCTTACTAGTTGATCTTACAATTTCTTTTCTTATCTTTTTTCTCTTTTCATCTGTCTCTCTTAATTTCTTCATGTTTCACCGTGTTTATCAAGAAATGAGAAATCCTTTGAAAAAAAACTTTCCGCTTCTTAGAGCTCATTGGAATCCCGCAAAATTTCAAATATTTTTTTCATTCGATGTTTTAGAGAATAAGAAAAACAACATTAAAATCGTTTTCTTTGCTTCTTCATTCATTGTGGTGTCTGATGCTCTGCTTATTACTTTATGTAATTTAGTTGCAGGTTGTGTGCTTCCTTGATTATCAGGCTAATCTCTTCTTCTTCCTTATTCGCTCATATACCCCACATCATATGCTATCATTTCGAGAATTTTTTTTGAAAAGTTCTGTTTACTGTTGAAAACAGGGCAGAAAAAAATTGAAAAAAAAAGAGAGAAAAATTGGAGAACTGCCCCGAAATGAGAGTTGAAGTGGAATGAAGGGAACGGAGGTACGAACCTAGAAAAACGTCTGCGAAGCTAAAAATGAATGAATGAGAGTGAGAGCAGTGTGAAGAGACCAAGAAAGAAGAGAGCAAAATCTTAAATTTGCATAATTTGTGGACAAAAACCGAATTTTCCGTTTGGTCGCCTTCGTTGAAAAAAAAAACGAATTTCTTCAACGAAGTTCGAGGGAGAACAGGAGATTGTTCCCTTCCTCACTCTCTCTCCCTCTAGGTATCTCTTTCTCTCTCTCTCTCTATCTCTCTCTCTATCTCTCTCCCTCTCTCTCGGTTTTAAACATTTTTTTCTCCTCTCCGGAAACTGTTTGTTTACACGTTGGAGGTTAATGAAATTTCACCTTATTTGTCAGATAAAGAAGGATTTTGACACTTTCAAACAAATATTTTTGTATTTTCAACTTCTCATTAACAATTTTGGAAAAAAAAAGTTTTTTTGGGCTATTTTTTTCGAGTAAAATATAGTTAAACCAGCCATTTTTCATCTCATTCATCCTTTTATGATCATTGTTGACAACTTTGCTTCTACTTCATTACTCCATTATGGAAATATCTTTTATCAAATGAATTTTTCTCTTCTTAACCCTTTCTCTATATCTCTTCATATCTCTGCTGCTCTCACTTTTTCTATTTCATAGTCTTCTATGGTCTATTACACCTCATACCTTTCTTATACTTCGTATTCTCTCTTTGCAGGTCTATACATATCCTCTATTGGGCTTTCATTCTTTCTATTTCTGTCTGTTGCTCATCTTACGGTTTTCTCGAGAAATTCAATTTTCCGTTTCTTCTTTGTAATAAACAATCATTTGTAGCCAAGAAGGATATTTTATGGCAAAAATATTCCTTTTGAAACTCCATCTAATAGAAATTAACTTTCTCCTCCTTCTCCGTGTTCATTACTCTGTTTTCCCTCTTTTTCGTCATTTTCTCTTGCTCTCTTAAGACACTCTATGAGAAGAGAAATAGGAAGGGAGATGGTGTAAGAGGAAGCGATGATGACTTTTATGTTCCCAGAACTCAAAAAAACTAATAAAAATTTATGAATAAAGAAAAAAATGTCGTCTAAACACTCCTAACAGGGATTTTCGGCCTCAGGCATTATTTCCTTTTGAAAATTCTGAGAACAAGAAATTCATTGAGCAACAACTTCCGATGAATGTTTGTTAGTTTTCAAAACAACTATATGAGTTTGGATGGTCAACGGCTTTTGCTTCTGATCCATTTGCGTGAGATTTCAACCACCCTCCTTTTCTTCGCCATTTTCGTTTTCTCTGCGGGTGTGAGTGAGTGTGTTTCTCTTCCTTTCGTTCAGCTTCTCCCTCTCTGCTTCCCCCCTCTCTCTCTTTTTAAAGTCATCTAAGTATTCGAGTACGAGCTTCCTCCTCATAATATCCACTTAGATCTTCAGCTCTCACTTTTTGAGATTTTTTTCATGTTTTCCTTCATCTTACATCGATCAGTATTATTTCATGTCTTTGTTTTCTTTCTCTTAACTCATTCCAATCAAATTTTTTGAAGCTCTTACTCCAACTTTCTGTGAGCAAAAGCTCATAGATAAACATTCGATTTCTCTCGTTATCATTCAATGAAAATATTCCTTTTTATAATGTCTTTTCAATAACATTCTCCAAACGCAGACAATAGTACATTTACTACATTTTTTATGACAATTTTCACGTTAATATAAGGCAATTTGGTGTTTTGGCAACCTGATCCCATTCAAAACATCAGATCATCCTCATGCGAGGCTCAGTTTCACTTCATTCATGTTCCTCTGTTCACACCTCTGCTCCATATTTAGTACCTCACTCCCTTCAAATACACCTTCTCACAGTATTTATTCTTTATTTATTCATTTCAGGCATGCCATTAGCTGAAGAGTTGGAACGATTATCAGGAGAGAAATCAGTGAAGAAAGAAATAAGTCAGTAACTCTGTTCGAAAGTATTTATTCCTTCGAGAGCTTTTGATTTTCGATTCTCCTCCTTTTTTTCTTCTTCTTCTTGTCATTGTCATTCATCCTTTATTGGCTTTCTATTGATGACGTCACAACACAGAAGACTATGAAGAAGAAAACTATGAAAGAGAAAGAAAAAAAAGCGGGAGTAGACTAAAATTACCATAAAATCTTAAAATATTCAGATGGATGGTGCTCAACAAATTCCCGATGTCACACTCGTCAAACACGTTTGGTATCCAAAGATGGTAAACCGCTATATGATAATATTCAAATTCCTTCTCGAATACGAAGAGCTGCTAAGTGAGTTAATAAAAGAAGAAAAAAAAGAAAAGAATTCATATCTTATTGTTTCAACGTAGATCTTGCAGAAATTGGTTTCATCTAACCATTGAATACAAATGGCGTACCATACTGACGGTCTTTGCCGGAGGCTTTTTTCTTTCTTGGATTTTGTTTGCTCTCATTTACTATGCCATCACACATTATCATCGATTATATGATGTATGCTAATTATACTGACAAATTCTCGAAAACAAGAGCAGTTTTTATTATTTGTCTTATTTGCAGACGACCGATCACTATCGGCCATGTATCGTCAATGTGGATAATATGGCAACAGCTCTGCTCTTCAGGTATCGGCAATATCATTTGAAGCTATTTTAAATCCATCTTATAGTTTGGAATCACAAGCAACTATAGGCTATGGCCATCGTTATATGACAGATTTATGTCCGATGGCATACACAACTTTATGTATTCAAGTGATTGCTGGCAATTTCTTACAAACTCTACTTGGAGGTTTAGTCATAGCAAAGATACTGAGACCTACTAAACGTCGACAGGTAGGAAAGAGCTAAACTTAACTATTCATGACAAATCATTATAGGAGATGAGGTTCTCTCGTATGGCTGTTATAGGACATCTGAGCGAAAACGATAGAAGGCCAGCTTTACAAGTTCGTCTGGCAGACATTCAAGAAAAACTTTTCTTAGCTGAATCACATGTTCGAATGTTTATAGTGAATAGTCGGATAAATAAGGTATTTTTCTCATTCTTTAAAATATTTTGTTTATTTATTCGTAGAGAGGAGATCGCGAACTGGTTGGTATGAGAGACATTAATGTTGGCTATGATTCTGGATGGGATCGAGTTCTTCTTTTATGGTTAATTTTTGAAATAATCTTTTTTTCTTGACAAACAAATTATTTTTTTATATTATTTATTATTGTAGGCCGATTGTCGTACGACATGTGATTGATGAGAACAGTCCTTTATATGGAATGACAAGAGAATCATTACAAGAAGCAGATTTTGAGATTATAATGACTGTCGAAGGGATTGTGGAAGCGACGGGTATGACATTTCAAGCCCGAACGTCGTTCCTTCCATCAGAAATTCTCTGGGGTCATCGGTATGCCAAAAACAAAAAACAACTTACCAATCCTGCCGTTCTCTCTATTTCAGATTTAAAACGATGGTGACATTGAATGAAAAATTGGGAAAATATGAAGTGAATTATAATCTGTTTGATCAGACTGATAGGTACGAACTCAAGTGAGGGTTCAATCCTTCAATCTTATATATCTTCAGAATACCTGATTTTGAGATGATTGATATTGAAGAAGGGGATGAGAATGACAACTTCACTGGTCCAGCTTCTGGGTTCTTATAGTCTTGAAATGGTTACCGTCTCTTCCCCCAATTTTCCTTCAACCCCTTTTACGGTTGTTTCCTGCCTTTCAATAAGGAGAACACAAACGAATTCTTTATTTTTTGAGAAATTTATAATGTCCCATACCGGTTGAAAATTTTTTTATTAGAAAATAAGAGTTTTTCACAAATTCCCTCGTGTGATCAGAGAAGCAATCAGTTCCTCTTGTTTGTACATCATCTATAGAATCATAGATTACGAGGAAAAGCTGATATCTGATCATTTCCATTGAACGAACTTATAACAGATTTCTACCTTTTCCTGTCCTCACTTCCTTACAGAAGCCTGAGGTCTACATTACGGGTTTATCATTGGTAGCCGGGTTGAAGCGGCTTGTCCCCGTTTATTTTGTTTTTTTTTGCTGTTATTCGAAAACAAATGAACTAAAGATTATATTTTTTCTATTTCAACACTTGCCCTCCAGTTCCATACAGGTTTTGTTAGAGTCTAGTCTTTTATCCGGTAGATGTTTATTTTCATAATAATTAAATGAACGTCTCATAATAATCTGTGAGTAGATAGTGATTCCATTACACCACACGGCCTTTCTCATCTCCCTGTGACAATTTTTTTTATTCAAATGAATGTATTATATAGATTACGAATAATGATAAACTGCCAATGCATTAAAGCAAATTTCTGATTGTTAGGTGATGACATATTGACTTACGGTCATAGTTGCGGAGAGATGTAAACCCCAGTGTTCCAAATTACCCACAACCCCCGTTATGTACATATCCCCATGCAATATTCTATTATATAGCAATAAATATTATATATCTTGTTTAGACTTGATTATAATATTCACTAAGCACGTAGAACACGTGAACAATAAACACCAGTCTCAAAACATTCAGTTCGTACACAGCGAGTGTCTTCTCGATTTCTAACTATCAACTCTTTCCTGTTATCTTTCAGGGTTCTTAATATGCTACTCAATCGATGTCAAATATAAAACTCACACAAGCTTTAAACTGTTTGACTTACGTTCTGCAGCATCTAGTGCTGAAGAATAAAACTCTCCTTCTTTCTTACATGTCCGTTGTGGTCTAGTGGTTAGGATTTATGGCTCTCACCCATAAGGCCGGGGTTCGATTCCCCGCAACGGAAGAACTTTTTGCACTGAAAAATAAAGTTCATTATCAATAATATGAAATGGAATGAAGCCGTAACTTAACCTTATAAACTTCCATTTTAATAATTTCTTTATTATTGAAACTCAAAGACAAGTATCATCAACATTGGATTGTTTCTCACGATTAATTTCTTGTTCTCTCTCAACAGCGTCAAACAAAGCTTTAACATTTCCTGCTCCAAATCCCTTAAAGAAAGCCACAAGTAGCAAAACGAAAAATGAAATGACATACATTGAAGTTGTGTCTCTGAATCAGCTCTATGAACAGAGTGGGACGATCTTGACACGGCTTGGTAAAAATTTGAAGTAGATAACCATTATCATCAAAATCAACGAGAATACTGAGCTCTTTAATCTTAAAAGATGCTTATGAATACTGCGCACGGAAACCGATCGTTTACTTTTTCTAAACTTTCCTGAACGTTAACTTTCGAAAGCTTCAAACGATCTCCTAACATTTCATAATAAACTGCTGGAACAGATAAGAACTCGACAGATCTTAAAAGCTTCGTTGTTTCAATGTGTTTCCGACAAATCCGATCAACCTCTCTCTCATTATTTCAATTGTTTCTATAATATCATCAACTAACAAGGCGATGTGTTGAACTCCAGAACCTCCATTGAAATATAGAAATTCCTAAGAAGTTATTGGAATAAGCAGGAACACAAATGAAACCAACTGAAATTTGATCGGTCGCATTTTTTTTGGCTGATTCCACCAATGTCATCTGAACTTTTTGGTCAGGATTTGTAAGGAGATGGGCTTTGATTGTTGCATCTTCGGATTTTACAACTTTATCGTCGATGGACCCAAAGTTTGTCAATAATTATGAATAATTGTTTTGCTCAGTTACCAGAAGCGATGAAGTTTCAGAGTGTTCTCATACCATTTCTCGGCATTTATCGTTGAATCGGATGGATAGTTCTGGACAACATGGTCCGTTGATATGACAGAAACACTTCGACTAGAACAATGAAGATAAAATGATTATATGAAAGTGAGGTAATACAGATTTTGAAGTAGATTGAAATTCTCACAGCTTTCATAATGAGGCAGAAACGTTCCAAAAAAATTCTTTCTATCGACCAAAGTATGAAGTAAGTCTGTTTCCTGAAGTTTCAAATCAAAATGATTCACTTAATGAAGAAAATTAAACAAAAGCTTCAATGGTCAAACATTCCACTTCACCGGTCTCATCGTCATCTTTCCACAAATCTCTTACTATTTTGACATTACAACTTTCAAGCCTCTGTGTAGAAAAATAGAAGCAGGATTAAGAGAGCTTCAAACTTCTCTCAGCGAATAGATGTCATCTACTCGGAATCCTACATTGAAAACTGAATCTCCGTGCGTTCTCAAACGTTTCTCCATGTTTTCAGATGAAAATGTGGAATAAGAAGTGAAAACAAAAATTGTCTGAATAAGGAAATTGGAGAAAAAGGGAAAGGGAAGGAAAGTTTACTTTTCCGTTACGGACAGCAATAGAAAAAGAGTTTTCTGTCTTTTTATGGGCAAACCGCTTAAACCCAAAGCAACAGCAGTACCAGTAGGCTGACTGGTAATGAATATTAATTGAAAAATAAAGAAGACAAAATGATGAAAGTTACCTGCGAGGCATTTGAAACCAAAAATTCTACAAAATCGAAATCAGCTAAAGACATTCCTAAGGGGTCCTACACTACAAGCTAGATCAACAAAACACTATAAAATACAAAATAATTTCAAAAAAGATCTTGTAACAGAAAAAAAGCCTCTGACAAACGAAATGTTACAACAGTGTTTTCTTAACATAATTCAACTGATCGATTTGTCTTTCTCATTTTAGAAGACGGTATTATTACGTACCAATGTGAACTTTACATCAAGTACTATATTCAATCAATAATTGATACATCATATTAACTGCAATTTGTTAATTTCTTTTATTTTTCATTTTCAACAAATATTTTTCTTTTTATAAATTTGATTTCGTTTTCAGTTGAATGATGTATTCTCCTCATAGAATATTGAAAAGCACCAAGGAGACGACCGCTCACAACAAGACAGATCTTCAAATGAAAAGAAGGTACGAATTTCATTCCTCGCTCGTTTTCATATTAGACCGGTTGTGCTTTGCTATGCTCTGCATCAGTATGTTCTATTACTTTCATTATCTTTCGTCCTTTTCGGGAAAAAAAAAAGAATTTTTTTGATTGCTCAGCTGAATAACAAAATAATTCATTGATGAAAAGTAAAGTTTACGAGGGAAAAAAGATTAAATGAAAGAGAATCTCGGTAATTTCCTCCTGTCAACGAATTCTCTTTAAAGCAGCTGCTAAGTACCCTTCCGTTTTCATTTGCGGTCATACAAAGGCAAAGCTAGAGCATATTGATTCCACGTTTAGCGTTCCGGTTTCTCTGCTCTATTAGGCATATTTGAGAAATGGTGCAATAGCTGTTCTGTTGTTCGTTTAATATTAGAATGTTTTTGATAAGCTTTGCAGTTTCTTTCTCTATTTCTGTTAGCTTGTAACCTTCTATCCCTCTATATCCCTCTATATCCTTCCCAATTTTTGGTTGATATGAACACGACATATAATGGTTCTGTGACTGTTTGCTTCGTTTCTTGACTGTGCTCAGTAAACTATTGAAGAAGCAGATGGAGTCGATGTACTTTTCATCTTCTTGTTGAATAGCGAACGATAAAAGCTTTAACCATATGTGGATATAGTCAGATGACGAATGATTGCTTTTCTCATGAACATCCTTGGCTTGTTCATTCTATTCAGAAGGCATGAGAGAGAAAAAGAGATAGAGAGAAGAAGATAGAAGAGTTGTTGAAACTATCGAAAGATACGAAGATATTTACTATATGGAAATGTGTCTACAGCAGCTTTTAGCCTTTAATTAGATTTCCTCTAACTCTGTAATTGCTTCCAAACTGCTTATGGCGATCTCATCTCTTGGTCTGTCTCTCTTGAATCGTCTAATCTATCACACATTCTCTCTTTCTTGCATCTTATTGACTTTCATATTTCTTTTGGATTTGTACTTCTTTCTCACCACCATTCTATTCTAATAATCCCCTATTACCAGTGTTCCATTCAGTTCAAAAATCTGTGAAAATACAAATGAAGTAGAACATAATATACGACAATGACAACTTCATAAAATGGACTTTCCTTTTTTTCTCGTCGTGGCAATGATTGTCTTTAATTTACTCTTGAAAGCACATGTCCAATCCACGAAATTTGATGTCTTTTCATCTATATAGACAAATATACCAAGTGGACTGGTTTGTTCACAATAGACATTTTCCACGCATGGCAACTGTTTGACTGCCGAACATCTTTTATTTTTTTATATTTTTATTTATTAGTTAAGCTTAAGCTAATAAATGTCATGTGATGATTTGCTGCATCTGTTGTCAGGTGTCATGTGCAATTTCTGCTTTCAACCATGCCGAATATCATGTAGCTTAGAAATTAAATATTGAGTAAATCAATATTTCTACAAATATTCGACTCGACTCTCTCGTTAAGTACATTGTTTCTTCTCTTTTCTCTTCTTTTTTCATAAGACTAATAGAAGTTCAAATAAATGAGAACTAAATGCCATTCAGCAAATTTCGATGCCCAATAGCCCCTGGGGCAAAGTGCAGATTAGGCAGCAAGATGGGCGCATTGACATGCAGCTGAAATCTATACAAACATGAAAATCAATAAGAAGCAAAGATGGCATGACTTTCGTGTGCACAGATTCTTCATGTTGATGTGAATAATTTGAATACTATTTGGTTATGCTAATTCCACGGCCTAATACTCAAACCGCGTGAAGTCTTAGATGAGTTATAGAGAGTCATTTTAATTATTAACTACGATTAGAGCGGTTGTATTCATTCATTGAATCCTCACTCTCTCTTTCTCTGTCTCTTTCTATTCCCTTCTAGTCTCTCCCTGCTTCTATCTTTCTGTTTCTCTTTTCTAATTTCTCTTTCATTCATTCATCTACCTCTCTAACAGACATAATTGCGGTCATCTAGCCGCCTAATATGATTCGATCGCTGCAGCCTATGTGCCTCTTTACCTTCTATCCTCAACCTGTCATTCCACGTTTATTTCAATTTTTCAATAATTTAGTTTTATTAAATTATTTTTCATATTGAATAGCTTCATTGAAGGTTCATTAGTTTTTTAATGAAACAAATGTGTTCGAATTCGTTTTCTCACTGCCATTTACAATAATCTGAAGTTGAAAAGGTCTTGAGCTAGTTCAACTCACATATAGCATTCTACACTCTTAATCAAACTTCTTTGAATTTTTTTTGGAGGAAAGTTTACGGAAAAGGAGAAAAAAGATGACTTTTGAGCGTATTTTTTGTTCATTCATTGCCTTTGCCTATCATTTTAAGTTATTTCCAATGCATGTAAGAATTGAAATAGCCGAGAACATCAACATGAAAATCGGACATTTGCCTTTTCTTGCCAGCGAACGATAAGTCCTTCTGTATTTTCTTCCGAAAAAAATTCAAAATGAGTAAGTTTTCTTTCATATTTTTGCACATTCAGCTAGTTTAGAAAATTCAATTCTATTGTTTCGCTTAGCTTGTCTTTGTGGGAAAATTTTTAAAGCCACCTTTGCCATCCGTCTTTTTTGAGGAAAACAATGAGTTTTGAACATTTTTGATAACACTAAGTGTATACAGATGTTACTGATTGACATCTGTGGGATAATTTCTTATCAAACAATCGTATAATTTTGTTATTTTCGAATAAGAGCACTCATTTTCTAATTTATTCAGAAGAGAGTGGCTCTAGACGCGAACGAAGTACTAGTGCAGTCAATCATTTCTCGCTTTTTTCTTTATCTTCACTCGCATGAGGACTAAAAATTAATTTTGACACTTTGAACTCGATGAACTTGAAAAGCTGCCTTATTTGGCTTTTTTGTTTTTTCTCTTCTTCATCTTTATGGTCGAACTAGAAGCTTTCGTTTGGCTAGTTTATCGATTTGCCGCCCCTCCCTCTCTATTTCTCTCCATAGTATTTGCTACTTGAACATCTATTTTCTTTTGTTTCAAAAAAATTATTTTCTTATTTTCATTTGTTAATGACCTTGAGGCGATTTTTTGTTCAAATATATCCCAACTTCTTACTATTATTCGTTCATGAGTTCATAAACAATTGACGATAATCCCTCTTTTCAACTCATTTCCAATTGTGTTTTCGAATCCTTTTTTTTGCTTTTTCCTCCTCTCCTCTCTCAAACATTTTTCTTGAATTTGTCTGAAAAGCCAAATTTATTGAATGCTGAGGCTGTTCCTTCCTCCTAACAACAGATTTTCTCCTTCAATTCATCAAAAATTATTCTTCGAAAAAAACTATCATATGACCATAAAATGATAGAGACTCTTCTCTTGTTGGTTTGAAAAGGAAGTTAAATTCCCCTAAGATCATTGAAAAGCCTCTTGTTTTGTGTGTACTCTCGCTCCCTCTCCCCTTGTTATCTCAAAAAATCATTTTTTTAGCTAGAAATACAACTTCTAAGGAAAGACTGAAGGAATTCTGTCCTTTCTTGGATTAAGATTGAAGTAGAGAAGGGGCGAGAGAAAGAGAGAGAGAGAGAAGGAGAACACATTGTGTTTGAGAATTTGTGTATTAAATTTCGAGTTGAAAGAAAAAAATTTCGAGGAGTTGAAAGGAAGCTTTATGTGTCTTTCAAACATTATATGTGTTATTATTATTATTCAAATAGCTAACTCTTTTATTATATTTTAAAGATGAAATGCTGACTGTCGTAATTTCTGATGAGATCTGCCGTTGCTTGGGAACAGTTTCATTCTGTTCGTGAACAGCTTCAACGTCGGATAGCTGAGAAAATTCGTAAACAAATGAGTTCTCTTGTACGTTTCAGCTTATCTTAAACTTTTTTTTCATTCAATTGTTTATTTTTCAGGTTGGCAATTTGGAATCTGCCGATTTGCTGCTTGTTGCAGCTGATGGCAAAAAGCTTCCAGCTCATGAATGTATTCTGAGAGCACGTGCTCCAGGCTTCTACCAGCGCCATGTGGAAGCTACTGTGGCTGCTATGGGTCCTAAACAGGATGGAAAATTACGAGAAGTACGTGTTAAGAGGGATTTCACCAAAAACTGAAATTTTTAAGGTAGCTATTGGTGATATTGATTCAGCTGGATTAGAATTTTTCATTCACTCCGTTTATACGGAAGATGAAATTGCCCAATTCCCATCTGAACAGGAAGAAATGGACGATCGACGTATGTTTCTTAAGTTCTTTACAAATTTCCCCATAAAATAAAAGAAGAGATTCTAATAACTCCTTATCAACGTCTGAAAAAATACTTTTACAAGTTTAGTTTGTGAGTGTTGTCGTCAAGTTCTTCAAAAGCAGAAAAAGGCAAAAGCTAGTTGTAAGAAGGGTAGGTTGAAAGCTTTTGCACCCACGTGCTTAACCAACCTCAGTCTCTAAGTTTTTTTTTTCCAAATATCGAGGTAGCACCTGGCGCATTCACTCCCAAATTCCCTCAAAGTATAAGGGACTTTGTTTGATTTTTCCTCAATTTTCAAGCTTTCATACAATATTCATTTCCTAACTGTTTTTAATCTTCTTATAATTACAGGACCTTTATCTCAATCGTCCAATTTATCCTTCAATATGGAAGAATCCACAGAGCTGGATTTTCACCAAGGAGGGGTGGATGAGAGGTACTATTTTCTTTTTTCAATTATTCATGAAACTTTACTCTAGGTCACTCGAAGAGGAAACACCTACCACCGGACGCCCGCCCCTCGGTTATTTTGTTCAGTCGTCCGGAGTGAGTTTTCGTTTAATAATTCCAAAAAAAGGCTTTTCTCTTATAGTATTCGGTACAATCCTCTCCTAGACGTCAAATGAGTTCTAGTTCATCATCGTCACAAGCAATGACATCATCATTAACATCTGGAAACTCTCATTTGTTTGGTTTCAATTCACAAACAAATAGCTATATGACGTCATCTGTTCCTTCAATATCTTCTGTACCAGTGATGACATCTTTTCGAGATTTAGCTACAAGTTCACCAATGAATACTTCGAACTATTCTGTTCGCAGTGAAGTAGCAGATATCCCAGAAGAGGATGAAGAACTGCCTACTAATTCTGATCGAAAATTCCATTCACAGTCTCAACGCCAAGATAGTAAGTTTTCATTTTTAATTTTACTCCGCCTCACGAAGTGCGAAAGTACCCACTTTTTATTTCGTCATTCGGAAGGCGTGAGCGGTTGTTCTCAAAAATGTTTTCTCTAAAGAACATACGTTGCTTTTCAGTGTCAATGAGCAAGTTTATACGGTTGGATAGCACAGGTCCTTCTAGCGACCCAATGAAAGAATATCTTCAACGAAAAAGGAGTAGTGGTGGTAAGTTCCTTCATTATTACTTGTTTTATGTTTCCGAATTCAGGCCCCAAGCAAATATTTCCAATGTTCATTGGCTTATCAGATGATGGACAAATGACTTCCAATTTGGATCGCACCTTGTCTTCAGATACTCTGCGAGGAGCATCAGCTGGACGAGTTATAATGTCTAAACGTCTTTCTATGACTTCATTAACTTCATTAACGAGTATCGACATGACTCCTAATGAAAGTAATACATTATCTTATTGTGTCTGATCTAACAGCCTCATTGTTCAGATGCAAATGTTCCCAATTTTGAACGAACTCCCGCTAGTAAGTTGGCATCAGAACTCCTACAAATGTATGTCAATAATGAAGACACTGATGTCGTAATTCGTACGGAAAACGGAGATCTCCATGCTCACAAGTGAATTTTCATATTCGTTTTATATTTAAACACAACACTTTCTTAGATGTATTCTATCAGCTACTTGTCCTTTTTTCCGACAGCAACTCACAAAATCAAAAAGAATCGAATTGAAGGGGTTTGCCTTCCTTCTTTTAACGTTCTTTACTTTGCATATTACAGTTTTTCTCGTAATTCTGTGCATTTCCTCCTTAGTTTTCTATATGGTGGCCTAACTGGTATCCCAGATGATGTCAGTATTCAAACAAATAATTTATATGAGACTAGTCTTCTTGTAGGTCGACATTTGGGAAATCATTGCCTTAGCTGCTCACTTGAACTTGAAAGATCTTACAGATGTAGTAATTTTACATTTAAAAGCTACTAGATGCCATTGGTTCCATCGGGTATGTATGCACCCAGAAGAACAGAATAGTATTCATTTGATTTCAGCCGTGTGCTGGATGTGTCTCTGCCGTATTCGATGCATTGCCTCAGATGGCTTCTATCAGATCTTTGAAATCGCTTTACGAAGAAGTTTTTTAAACTTGATCACATCATGCTCATTTACTAAATTCCAGGCTCTTAATTGGCAAGCTAGACATTTTGCACGAATATGGAAAGGCAGAGTTTTTCTTCATTTGAATGAACGGTGGCAAAAAGAATGTTATGAAGCTGTTATTCAACATATGGATGATGAGACTGTCATCGACACTATTTTGGGTTGCGAACGACTGCAGGTATAGTTAAAGCTGAACTTAAATTCAAACTTATGTACATTGTAGATTTCTTTGCCTCGTTCCAAAGCTGAAGGCTCAGTCAATGTTCTGTCCATGGTAGACGACGTTCTGGAAGTTTCAATGCAATTCTTAGTCCATTCTTTTCATTTGGTCGTTACGAGTAAATCTTTCCAGCAACAAGGAAAGGTCTTGTAAATGTCTTAGTCTTCATCTCATTTAATACTTGTAGGGATTAGCTTTAAACTTAGGTATTATGGAAGATCTTCTGCCCAGCATCGTGCATTCCTTATCCGCTGATGTTGCGATCAAAACGTTCAGAGTAAACTAGTATCGTACAGTTCTTTTCTACTTATTGTTTTTACAGGGACTGAATGAACTGTTGTTAGATATACAGAACATCCCACCATCCCCGAAAAGAGGAATGAGCTTGCCTATTGATGAATATTGTCAAGTAAGCTCGAATACTTTTCTCATGTTATGTCCCTAAGTAGAATTAATGTTGAACAATTTTCTACTCTCAAAAATCAATCACGTTGCTAAAATCATGACGTACATTTACAGAGATTCGTCTCTTTGATCAGAAGGCTGTATGAAATAGTGGATAAACATCTCCTTCACTACGCTGCTTCTGTTGTGAAAGCTGAAGCCTGGAATCTTTTGACGGAAGAAGAACAGTTGCGAATCCAAGAAAGTGAGATCCTTTTGTTTTCAGCTTTTTTAAAATTAGTTTAGCTGGCCTTTTCGTGGAACTAAGACAACCCAAAGCTCCTCCTCCTAGGTTATCTAGCTTCAATCGGAGTTATAAGCGATCAGCTTCAGTAGGTGTTCAATTTACCCAGGGCAGTGGAGATCGATCGAGATCAATAGAAAGGTATCAAACATAATTCTTTCAAAGTTTTTTCGAATTTGTTTTCAGAGGGAGACCATTATCCACCATTCAGCAAACCGTTCCAGTTGTATCGTCTGATGTAGACATGAAGCAACCGGAGAACGAAGACCTTCTGAAGGAGCCACTTTCGGTTTTTTTCTTCATTTTTCATCTGCTAATATACATATTAACAGAGCAACACCCCTGTAGAAAGTCCTCGTCGAAGTAGAAAAGATGAGAAGCCAGTTTCTTCTCGACCTACGAGTAGGATGAGTGCGAAAGGTACTGATTTCATCGAGTACTTTTCAAACAAACGCTTATAGAACAAACCAAAGCTTCTAATGGAAATGGAAGAATGTCAACACAACCTACGGTTCTTCCTGTCGTTGACAAGAAAGAACCCGAAAGAAAGGTTGAAGAAATGAAACCCACTCCTGCTCCAGCAAAAGTTGAGAAAACTGAAAAGGATAATACAACCTCTCAACGTTCAAATACTCCGAACGTAAGTACTCGAAACCTTCTCGATAGATAGTAATTTCGATTAGGAAAACAAGGAAAAGGTTCCATCTCGCACAAATTCCCCCCGAGCCGATAAAACTGTTGATGTGAAAAAATCTCCTGCAAAGAAGAAAGTATTACAAGGCGATGAAAGCTCATTGGAACGTCAAACAACTCACACCATCATGACAGTTGATAAAGCAAAGCTTCTATCTCTTCCACGACCCGAGCAATCTCCTTCTAAGGTTTGACATCATATCACAAAGTACATCTTGATTTTTACAAAGGTTCAGGCGGGAGAAAAACCAAAATCAGTGGTGAAGCCAATGGTCAAAGACCCTCCGCTTGCTCAATCCGCTCGATTGCCGGTGAGAACTGCTCCTCGCACCCAAATTCCCTTGACCAAAGAGGTATAAAACCAGCGAAGATTATTCTTACCAAAAAATTCAGATAAAGCCACCAACAAGCAGTAGGACGTCTGCAATTCCAAAAGCTACAGCAAAAAGCTCTGTAACTCCCTCAACAACATCATCGAGGGCATCGGCTATTCCTTCTAAAACTGATGCGAAAGTGCGTCCTTCGTCTGGTCCAACTAGATTAGTTCGAACAACACGTCAAGCTAATTCAAATTCTATCGAAAAGTAGAAGGCTTGAATTGTTTTTAGATAAAAGCTATTAGTAATCTTTTTTTTCTCTAAAAAAAAGTCAGAAGTCAGCTCAAATACTTCGCTTTCCCAAACTTGTTATGTAATTGAGACTGTGATCATCACATAGAATTGAATGTTTCTTTTTTTATTGAACAAAATGTTTTGTATTTGTTTTTTTTATTAATTTAATATGTTTTATGGGTATTTGACTCAGCTTCATTCAAATTCTTCTGTACATTATACTTCCATCAGTTTTGTGATCTCGCTTAACAGCTTATTAAATCTTTTTTTAAGCAACTAAGATGAATACATACATTAAAGAACAAGTAGCAAGTTTACGAATCACACCGATTCGTATGTGTATCAAGGTAGGAGAGTTACTGATTCAAGTTCAGGAAACAGAGTAGCGAGAAAGTTCAGTGTTTTCTCACGATTCTTGTTCAGTGTATTGCCTTTTTTGAGCTTGAAGCCGTTCTCCACTTCAACAGATTGGATAGTCAAGCTGAGATGAATCAAATATTCTAAAGTTTTCTGAGCAAAACAACTTACACTTCTTCAGGATATATATGGAATAGGCTTTCAGTTAGAGTGATTCTTCGGATGTGGGTCATTGTCTTTCAAAATGATTGTCAATGTTATTACTACAGCTTGTTTACCTTTGCCATCTCCACAAAATCGTCACTAGATACTATACAGTTTTTGAAACTTATCACTTCAATATTGGAAAATAAACCCAAGACAGAGACGCTATTTTCCTTCAACAACCATCTTTATATAGATCGAAGTTTGTGATTACCTCAAGACAATCATTGAATAGAGACCAATCTAACGAACAGCATCCTTCAAAATCAAGAGCTCTCAAACGATTATGAGGTAAGAAACCACACAGTTCAATAATCTGCAAAAATTAGTTCAGTTAAATATTTACGATACAAGCTCACTTCATAAACAACATTGAACCAGTGAAAATAAGGTGAGCTCAACTCAATGCAATCAGGATAAAAGTGCTTCAGGACTTGAGGGGAAAGGCTTAGTGAGCGTTGAGAAATCCACAAATGATCTACAGCCTATAAAAACTAATCTTATAAGACAAAAATTGTTTTATAACGAACCTTTTTGGCCTGTTTGAAAGAAGCCCAGAAGTTATACATGTCGATCAAACTGAGTTGCTTGGCCACCTGAAACGAGTAGCGTGGAATAGATTAACAAAAGGTATGAAAAACTTCGGTAAGAAATAGCATTGATAAATTGGTTATTTTGGGACTCTCATCATCATCTTCCTTCCTGTGCTTTGAGTTAACAACGCCTCGGTCAGTTAAGACAATCTGTGTAATGTGAGTCTAATTTGACAAATTATTTTGGAAAACTTTGCTATGTCGTCTTTTTCGGTCCTGCTTAGTCAAACTTCTTCTGAGTTGTTTCTCCATTCAACGATTGAAAATCTTTTTGTCGAGACGAATGTTTCAGAACCGACCGCTTCTTCTCTAAAATTATTAGAAAATAGCTTTGCAGGAAATTTCAGTTCCATCTTTGAAGTGATGAGATCGGTTGGTCGATTCATGATGATATTGAAAATATGAAAAGCTGTTTATTCACAATTCTTTCATTTGACATATGCACAAAAGGTCTTATTCCGAACTAAAAAACATTTTAGACATCTCTGATAGTATAGGGATTCCTTCAGGGCATATTGCCAAGTCAGATTGTCTACTTCCGGTAACGTTTCCTTCTCCAACTGTAGTACTTTCGGTAACGTTAACTGCTCCAGCTGTAGTCATTCCTGTGGCATTCACTATTCCAACTGTGGTACTTCCAGTAGCATTGTCTGTTCCAACTTTAGTACTTTCAGTCACATTGCCTATCACAACTGGAGTACTCTCTGTGGCATTGTCTGTTCCAACTTTAGTACTTTCCGTCACATTGCCTATCCCAACTGGAGTACTCTCTGTAGCATTAGCTACTCCAACTGTAGTTCTATCACTCATGAATGTAAATCTGTCAGAGGGAGTAGACTCTGGTACGCTGATATTATTATGAGCTGTCAGGTTGTTATCTGATTTATGTTGGAGGAAACTAAAAGAAAATATATCCTGATAAACTGGGACACTCGCAGTCGTGGTAGGCTGCTCAGTTCCTTCCGCTTTTGTTGTTTGAGAAGAAGGGTCAGCGATTAAAGTTGTTGCATTTTGAACAGTATGTACTGTTGAGTGAGAATGTGCGACTTGATCAGTTTGAGTATTAATCTGGAAAGTTTGTGCAGTCTGAGCGATAGGACCAAAAGATGTAGTTTGGGTCGAATATTGCGTTTGGTGTGAGTGTGCTTGGGAGGGCTCTACTGTAGAGTGTCTCAATGTTGAAGCTGTTGAGAAAGAACGTGGATGGAAAGTATATTCTGTTCCGTTTACTTCCGGTTCCGCAGTTCCTGAACCTTCTACTTCAGTACCTGATTCATTAGTTTTCTCTGCAAATAAAGTTAAATAAGAGAAGAAACTCCTTTGAGCTCACGGTATCTTTCATCGGGGACTATTGTGTTGTGAAAAGTCTCAAATCTTCTGATGTACGGTAGGGGATCGATAACCATTTTACCATTTGTTTCCGCAATTGTAGAGTACTCCAAGTAGACTAATCGAACTGGATCAAACACAGAGGCTTCCCATTCTTCGTTAGCAGACATATTTTTCACAGATAACGATAACTGATGATAATATTGTTTGTTAATTTTTGGGAAAGCCTTTGAACTACCAGCGAGTCATTATAAGTAAATATTTCTCCTGTTCTGAATGCTTTCAATACTTTCTTAGCTTTGGCAGCAATCTGAGAGTTGGATAGTTGTATTAACAGAAGAAAGAGAAATGGTTTACTCACTCTTGGTTCTTTCAGGTTGTTCACGTACTTATCCCTAACAGACTTCAAAAATCTGATAATTTTTCTCTGAAAAATAATTGGAACGTGCATGGAACAGAGGAACTTACTTGGATATTAGGAGGTAAGAGGTAGAATGATTCGTAGACACAACCTTTGATCTCCGCTTGTGTGTAATTCATATATTGAAATTTCTCGAAATGAATCTGAACTGAAAGATGCTCTCCATTCCTTTTAAAATATTATATTCACGTTTTGTAGCAGAGTACTAGCAGCTGCTGCTGTCAAAGTGCCATCGAAGGAATAGAACAACTGATGGAAGGACAAAATTTGCTGCAAAATGAGAGCAATGAAATTATAAGAAAAATATTCAAACCATCATAATGAATGAAGTTTGGCGATATCTGTCCCAGAAGGCTTTTGTGACATTATGCCCTAGCGAATCGTTGAGTGGATGAGGAACAAACACTTCATGAGGTATCAGTTAATGAGTTATTTAAGGAGAAACAAGTGTTACCTCTTTCAGCTTTGCTAGCTTGTGTAGAAGTATCATGAGCTACATCAGAGAATGGTATAATCAAATGGCATTGGATACAGCTTATGAGGATGAATACAAGAAACTTCATGATGTAAATGGTATGACTGAGTTAACCGTGTTGGGTAAGTATTTGAACCCACGTTAGACTAAAGGTCGAACAGAGAAAAAAAAAGATTTTGATCGTAGCATTAACTATCGTACTCACATATCTCGTATAGGAATTAACAAGATTATCCTTCATAATCATCTTTTTATAATCTCTTTATTGTAAACTACAATTATGATAGGTTTCGATAATACCAATTAGAACACATCTTCAACAGGAAGCAAAACTGTAATTCAGCTTTAACTTTCCACGATTATGAAAATATTCCCCGTCATTAGATCCTCGAATTTTGCAATAAATTTCATTAGCTGATCTCCATCATCACTACTAATATGTAATGCGTTTTCTTTGTTTGTCTAAATGA